CTGTTTCCTCTGTGAGATTTGAAGCTGTCAAATTTGAAGCTCTGTCATTTACTGAGAGCAATGCAAAAGAAGGTCTAAAGATTGAATAAGAAAGGAGAAGGTATGAAATAAGGACAGAAGAAGTAACACATGGAAAGAGGAAAAATTCTAGGGTATACCAGTGATCCACTTAAAATTAGTGGCCATGAATTTAAAATATAATCAGTCAGTACAGCTATGTGTTTTCTGCAACTAGTGTTGACTTCACTACAACTTCATGTTACAGTGGAAATAGACATTAATATGAATTTAATCCCAGTTCAGAATGGCAAAGGAGAGAAACAGGACACTGGAGATGAGGACAGTGATTGTAATGTTGGTAGATAGGCTATAACTTAATGAGGAGTCGAGATTCTGAAAAGGTGTTAGTCTTGTATAAGTTGCAGTGAGTTCAAAGAATTCTTGTAACTGGGATACAAGAAAAAATAATCAGGCAAGACAAAAAGTGGTGGTAAGAGGTGAATAACTGCTCTAATTGATGTCTTTATTGTATATCTAATTGTCGTTTAAGCTTTGACACGTTTGGTATCTAATTATTTCTAACTTTCTATTAAGTTTGGAATGTCCATAATCTTTGTCAGTAGGATTAGCAACTCTAGTTTTATGTGCCACTTTTTACAAGATGGTATCAACACAGAGTACAATTAAAATTCAAATAAGCATGGAAGCTCTTAATTAAAAGCTGAAACAGTGAGAAAACCAGATTTGACTGTGGTACCAAAAAAAAAAAAAAAAGAGTCTTTCTCACTTGATAGCTAGATTGTTATGAGGGTAATGATTTGGCCCCTAAATGTTTCAAACATTGCAAAGATTTTGATAACATTCTGCTCTCTTACACGGAAAATTAACCATGTTTACTTTTTGAAACAGTTTTAGCAATGAAAATAAAATTATTCTTTAAATTCAAATTTATGTCTATTAGCATAATTATGTAAAAGTAACCTGAAAATCTTACAAAATATTATGAATTATATAATTTGCACTTACTTTTCCCCCTTACATTTTTTTAATCAGTGTATATTTTATTATATTTCAGAGAATCAGCTTTTAAAATAATTTATTATGGTGTTATTTTTCTAATACTATCTGTGATTATTTTTGTTATTTCCTTCATTTTATTTGTAAGTATGGATTGAACCCAGACACTTCACACCAAACTATATCTCCAGCCTGTTTATGTTTTATATATTTTAAAACAGCGTCTCACAAAATTGTCCAGGTAGAACTGAAACTTGTGATTCTCCTGCCTCAGGCTCCTGCATGCTAGAATTACAGATGTGAGACATGGTGGCTCATAATTGCCCATTTTTGTGGAATGGTTTTTAAAGTATGTTACAGATGTAGTAGCACTTTACCACCTCCAATCCTTATAAACATAAGGGTAATAGCTTTCCCAATAGAATCTAATATTCAGATCATACTAAAAATTTCTCAGTTACCAAAAACTTCTGTTTTGACTACTTTTTTCAAACTGCAATCCAGTTAAAGAACATACCATTCAATTAGTTTTATGTCTTTAAGTGGCTTGTAATCTAGAACAGTACCTCCGTGCAAAATTTATCCTTTTGGGAAATAATTCCATGACATTAACTGTGAAATAGGTTAGGCCAGTCTTTTTTTTTTTTTTTTTTTTTTTTT